AGGCAAGATTTTTCCAGCCCAGGAAATTGCAGGGGATGTGACTGTGTTCAATACAAACCATGATATGCAATATTGATTTTTCCAGCCCAGGAAATTGCAGGGGATGTGACTGTGTTCAATACAAACCATGATATGCAATATTGAGATACTTGCATGCAGAAAATTAACAGGCCAGGTAGCCTTTTCTGTGGCACGCTAGTTTTAGGATAGATCACCTCTGCTTGATCACACTAAATTGTATTCAGTCCAGGATAGCTATGGTGAGGGACCAAAGGACACTAATTAGACCTTTCTGTGTAATACAGGTAGTCCTCCACTTATAACAGTTCATTTAGTGACCGGTCAAAGTTACAACGGCATTGAAAATAGTGACTTATGATCATTTTTCACATTTATGACTGTTGCAGTATCTCCTTGGTCACATAATTCAGAAGCTTGGCAACTGACTCATATTTATGATGGTTGCAGTATCCCAAGGTCATGTGATCACCTTCTGTGACCTTCTGACAAGCAAAGTCAATGGGGAAGTCAGATTCACTTAACAACCGCGTGACTAATCTAACAACTGCTGTGATTTGCTTAACAAATGTGGCAAAAAAAGTTTTAAAATGGAGCAAAGCTCACTTAATAAATTTTTCACTTAGCAACATAAATTCTGGGCTCAGTTGTGGCCGTAAGTCAAGGAATACCTGTAGGTGTTGGGGGGTCACTAACAGGGAGTTCCCGACATTTTTTTCTTTATAGGTTGCGAGAGATCAAGAATGCAGCCACCCTAGCCTGTTTTTGTTTTCCAGCATACAGCATTTCATACAGTTGCTCTAAGGCAGAGGTCCCCAACCTTTTGGGCACCAGGGAGCAGTTCCGGGGAGAGAGGTTTTTCTGTGGACCTGAGGGGGTGTGATTTCATGTACTTCCTGCATCCCACGGATGGGCCTTTGCTTGTTTGCGCAGACTGATTTCTGGCATGCCGCGGCCCAGTGCCAGCCCATGGACCGTGGGTTTGGACCCCTGCTGTAAAGCACTGTGGAGCAGTGTATAAGTCTAGGTCAGTGGTGGTGAACCTATGGCACGCATGCCAGAGGCGGCACTCAGAGCCCTCTCTCTGGGCATGCGCACCGTCGCCCCAGCCCCGCCTCCCCCCACAGCCCCGTCCTCACCAGCAGCCCCCCTGGAGGAGAGTTGCCCCCGGGTGTGGCCCATGCGGAACAGCGCAGCCAAGGACATGGCAGCAGGGACAAGACTCCGCCCTCAGGCCCCGTAACGTGCAGATGCTGCTGCAGGGCACAGGCAGAGGGCGTAGCCACCATGGTGCTGCTGGGCCACCTGGGCAATCTGCGGCAGACTGTGGAGGTGGTGGGTAGCCCGTGGGGGGGGAGATAGTGTGGGGGCGATTGGGCACTCAGTCTCTAAAAGGTTCGCCATTACTGTCTAGGTCCTATTGCTAGCTATTACTATTGAGAACAAACGGTGGTCTCTCTTTATATTTATCTACTTGATTTAATCGATTCCACTCTTCTAAGAACTGATTTTTCTCACAAAACACACGTGCGCTTCAGCCTGATTGGGTTATTTCAAACCCAGCTCAGATTCACCAGGCAGAGTTCTTCTGAAGACCAGCAAGATCAGCGCCCCCCCACAACCTTTTGGGCACTAGGTACTGGTTCCGGGTTTTTCCACGGACCGGAGGGGTTGTGGTTTCGCGTGCTGCCTGCATTTCATGGATGGAGCTTCACTTGTATGCGCAGACCACTTTCTGGCATACCGCAGCCCGGTACCGGTCCATGGACCAGGGGTTGGGGACCCCTGCTCTAAGGGAACCATCCTCTCTAAAAGATAAGTTGAGTTCTTTCTTCTCTTCAAATGGGAATGCTTTTTTCTGGGAATTGTTTGGATGGGCCTCGTGTCGGGGCAGTGGTTGCCCAGAGGCAGGACCATTTTAGCAGAGGTACCCTCGGAGAGCGTGCTATGAAGAAGATGGACTATAGAGTTTAGGGCTGATCCAAAGGACATGGGATGAAAATTTTAGTTCAAGCCCTGTAGGAATCCTAAGTAGGGAAAATTTAACAATATTCTAGTGAGAACATACACGACTACCTCACCTTCTGCATATACTAATTGAGCCCTTAGCTCAAGGGTGGGGAACGACGGCTCTTTCATGACTTGTGGACTTCAACTCCCAGAATTCCTAAACTAGCCAGCTGCAAATAAGAGGTAGTCCAAATTTCAGACTTATACATCTTGAAGATGGAGAGCCTCTAGATTGTTTCTAAGTCCTGAAGCTAGATTGGTCCTCACAAACATTCTTGCACTAATGTGTGTGCATGTATTGCATATCTAGGTGCGGGTAGTCCTCAATTTACAACAGTTCATTTAGTGACCATTCAAAGTTACAACAGCACTGAAAAATGTGACTTATGACCGTTTTTCACAGTTACAACCTTTGCAGCATCCCCATGATCAAAATCTGGGTGCTTGGCAGCTGACTCATATTTATGACGGTGGCAGTGTCCCGGGGTCATGTGATCCCCTTTTGCAGCCTTGTTCTGACAAGCAAAGTCAGTGGAGGAGCCAGATTCACTTAACAACTGTGCTACTAACTTTAACAGCTGTAGTGATTCACTTAATAAGTGTGGCAGGAAAAGTCATAAAATGGGGCAAAACTCACTTAACAAACATCTGACTTAACAACAAAATTTTTGGGCTCAATTGTAGTTGTAGATCGAGGACTACCTGTATCTTCGAAGCAGTCTTGACTCCTATTGACTACATGGACAAAGTTCCTACAGTTTTCTGGCAAGTTTTCAGAAGTGATTTGCCACTGCCTGCTTCCTAGGGTTGAGAAATACTGGCTGGCACCAGATTTCCCAGCTGTGTCTAAGGCAAGATTAGAACTCACTGTCTCCCAGCTTCTAGCTTTTAATTACAATGCCACATTGAGTCTCTAGTCTACATTAATGTAGGAAATACATAGTTAATTCAAAAGATCCTGAAAATGCGTACTCCACCACGTTAAGGGGCTTGAAATGGATTTGCAAAGAATAAGAATTAGGGTGCAGTTTGGTCTATTGCAGGGGTCTTCAAACTTGGCCCTTTTATGACGTGGACTTCAACTCCCAGAATTCCTCAGCCAGCGTGCCTGGCTGAGGAATTCTGGGAGTTGAAGTCCACAAGTCATAAAAGGGCCAAGTTTGAAGATCCCTGGTCTAATGGTTAAGGCGCCAGGTTAGAAAGCGGGAGACTGTGAATTCAAATCCCACCTTAGTCATGAAAGCTGGCTGGGTCACTTTGGGCCAGCCATTCTCTCTCAGCCCAATCCACCTCACAGAGGAGTTGTTGTGGAAAAAACAGGAGGAGGAAGGTATGTGGATATGTTCATTGCCTTATTTATAAAAATAATAAAGGCAGGATATAAATAAATAAAAAATTAGAGGAAGAGAAACCAGGGGGAAAAGAATGAGCTACAAAGAAGATGGCAGCTCCTTTTAAGCAGAAACATTATCCTGCCAATCTGGAACAATCACCCGAGTGAAAAAAAACAACAACTAGACTTTCCAGCAACCCTCAATGATCATTTGCATGACGCCCCCAACGTTCATGACCAGAAGAAAATATTAACCAATCATTAACAGAGCAAAGGGAATTAACCAGAGCAAAAGATACACAATCTACCCATTGCTCTTCCCATGAGCCACAAAATATTGGGGAACAAACCACGTAACGTGGGCGGAAGGGACACTGCTGCAGAGCCAGGATGTCCCCCATTTGGACAAGCCAGAAACAAGCCACGAAAAGAGCAAGGATCGCCCCTAGTCATCCTCTGCTCTGCAGTGTATCTCTTTATCTCCCTCTACGGTGTGGGGAGCCTCTGCCAGCTTCCTTCCAAAGAGCCTCTTATCTTAAAAGGGCTCTTATCTTAAAAAGCCAAGGTCTCCCACCCTTTGAAGTACAATTTGAATGACAGCTTCCCAACTGCATCTACTTCTGTCAGTGGAGGCTCAAAAAAGCATTGAGAAGAAAGGGAAAGAGGTGGTGGTCCTGCTGGGAGGCACTGGTGAAACATCCAGTAAAATATTGAGCTAATGCAGTGTTCCTTAAACTTTAAGATGTGTGGACTTCAACTCCCAGAATTCCTCAGTCAGCATAGCTGGCTAGGGAATTCTGGGAGTTGAAGTCTGCACATCTTAAAATTGCCAAGTTTTGAAAAACACTTATCCAAAACAAAGAAATAATTTCTCAGGTCCTTGGCGCTTGGTCTGGGACATTTGGGGTCAATACAAATATTGAGAGAAGCCAACCCAATCAACAAATACCCCCTCTGGAAGAATTAAAAAAACATTGGGGCGGGAGGGAACCCCAGAACAGCACCGATTTCTGATCTTTGCTCGTTCTCTGACACGTCCCTCTAAACTCCTGCTTCAGGCAAACGTACCTACTCATCAAGCCAATGCTGCTTTCTCTGGCCATTTCAGATCATTTGCCAGAAATTCAGCCAGCAGAACTTATTTCCCACTACAATAAACACCAATTAAAATTCTGGGCTTGGCCAGAAAAGAGCCCGAGATAGGCAGACTCAGGACGAATCCAGGATTAATGATAGTATTTTGCACGGTTTAGGAGAATCTTGCACTTTTATCTGTTGGGGGGAAAATTTTTAAAGGTGGAAGAAGAAGACATCCGACTGATTTGTTTTCTTCCCATCAGGCGAACTACTGTACCTCACTTAAGCCTTCACAACAAGGAGACTATGCAATTAGTGGTCCCCCTTGACACTCTTAAGTACAGAGAACAAACAAGTCGAAGCTTGCTGTTTTGACTCCCAGTTAACCCCCCCACCTCCCTGCTGCCAGGGGTTTCCTTTAACCCCTCCCCTTGCAGCCCAGAGCATGCCGGGTACAAAATGGAGCTGCTGCTCTTTTAAACATCTCCCCTCCCCCCCCCACACACAAAACAACCCCAAATTCAGGGACCTACCAAGACTCCACTCCCAGCGTCTCACTTACCATACTGAAATCTAGAAGGTCGCTTAATTCTTTATCGGTTCCTGCTGCAGCCATTCTTTGTTGCTGGTTCATATTCCCACCGATTGAAATGGTGTCTGTCTTTTTTAGAAAAAGAAAACAGGGAGGGAGGGGGTGACACGGAGGAGAAAGGAAGCAGGATAGGAGAAGTGGAGAAGAGAAAGATTATTTTTTTAATGGAATGGAAGCGCTTCAAAATAAGCTCATGTTATTCAATACGAGATATAATATGCAACTATTTCTCAGAATTATAAATCCTCCCCGGCAAAAAATTCTCTAGCAAGCAACAAGTAATTAAAACTCTTTCTCTCTTGCACACACAGGCACGTGTATGTGCGCATACACACAAACAGAGTGCCAATTTCTTGACTTGGAGCCACTTCAAAATCAATAAAAAAATTGAAAAAATCTCTAATAAATGCAAGAACGAGGAGGCAGCAGAAATCTAACGGTTATGGCCTTTTCTATTCCAGATCACCTGTTGCTCCAGTTACCGAACTAATGCTTAGAAAAGTTGCTGACCTTTGTTTTTAAGGTTCCCAAAGTAATTCTGCACTTAATACAAATGCTATTTACAAATCCATCAATCACAATCCTCTTTTTTTTATTAGAACTAGAGTTGTTCTGCTCTTGCAGATAATAAAGCAAGAGTTTCATTTCCTGCACCCTTAAAAGACACAGTAGGAAATACTTAAAATCTGAATTTTGGATACTGGCTCTAAAAACTAAAAATCAACATGCGATCCAACCCCCACAGGGCAATTACATTGCAGTAGTACACACCAACCTGAGAATAAACTCTGTTGACCTGCTTGAACTTTTGAGCAGAAATGCAAAAAATGACATGTCTTATGTGCCAAAATTCAGGTTAACAGTGAATACAAAAATCCCATATTTTGCACACAGAGACTTTGCTTTATCTGAGGAAAAGCTAGTTGTGTTGATAAGCAACAATTTTCTCAAATCAACAGCTTCATTTGATCACCACCTCACTCTCCATCCTTCCCAGCCTCATCCTCCCACATAAAAAAAATAGACTGTAGTGTCCTTGGGGCAGGGAGCCTTTGTTAATTTTGCCTGCCCCATGTTGCTGACTGTGTGGTTTTTAATGTCTGTCTTTTTGCAACCTGCCCAGAATCATTTGGGAATGGGTAGCATGCAAATGTGTAAAACAAACCCATAATTACTAACAGCTCCTTGGCTTGTAAGAGGCCAGAGATCATCAAATCCAGCCCCCTGCTCAGTGCAAGGATTACAAAATGAAGACCCAAATTACTTGCTGGGTTGAAAGAGCCTAGGTGTATACTTGCACTGTGGGAACACAGATAATTATTGTACTTGCAAGTGAGTAAACAATACACAACTCAGTAGGATCTACTGCAGAGTAAACCTGACCCAGTTTAAGCAACCCTTTTAAGCACAGAACAATTTTTTATTTATTTTTATTTTTTTGCATCTGGGGACCTCCAGATGCAACAACGAAGACCACAATCCTCAGTCAACAAGGAAAGGCTGCTGTAAAGCATTGGGGGGAAGGGAGGTTGTCCTGGTTGTGTGTATCTGATCAATGGGAATGCAGCTTAGCAAAGCAGCCAGATAACAGCTTTAAATTTGCAGTCTTCAGAAGAAAAAAAAAAAATACTTCACACTGTGATGTGAAATGTCCTCACATTTAATCTCGCTTGTTGGTAAAAGCTACAGATCGGAGAAACTTCAAGGCTCAGGAATTGCAACACATAATTATTACCATAAGTAATATTTTATTTAAATCCCCCTATAAGACTAGAGCTTATGGTCACCCACCAACGACATGAACAAACAAAAGGATGTATAACTCTCTGCCACAAGATATGGTACAAGCCATTCATTATAAAAAAAGAAAGGAGTTCAAATTAGACAAGAGGACAAATGAAAGATTTCTTAGTACTTCTTAAGCATGAAAGTGGGATTTAGTTTCCACACAGGCCTTTGATCCCAAATGAGACATGTCAAGGCACAAAACAAACACTAGAATCCTTAATTTCTTTGAGGCTTATGAAAAAAAAGATACTTGTGCACCTATGCTCACATGGAATCACAGACTTGGAAGGAAAGATACACTCAAGTATTTATTGATATCCTTCTCTTATTATTTTTATAAATAACACAAGGTGGGGAGAGAGAGAGAGAGAGAGAGAGAGAGGGAGGGAGGGAGGGAGGGGGGGGACTAGAACTCATAATCTCCTGGTTTCTAGCCTGGCATCTTCACCACTAGACCAATTTCCACTCTCCTTTTCAATGCTCCTATTTCTGCTGGATGAAAATAGGAGATAACCCTCCCCCAGAAATGCATTAGTGGGTTTTGCCCCAAATTACTAGAGCACACCTTCTACAATTCGTGCTAATCAGGGGTTGACAACTCAACCAATTGCTCTGTTTTCTTGAGATTCCTTTACTAGTTCTCTTCCTTTTCTATATGCCCCCAGGTCCCATTGCAAATCAAAATAGAATAGAATAATGAAGTAGAATATCTAAGTACTCTAAGTACTCTAACTATGCCTTATATATTCATTGTCAATCTTATGTAACAGACATATGGGGGAATAGCATTATTTACCTTTGCTGATAGATAAATGTGTGTTGCTTGAGTGGGTGGGTAGAAACTTCAGATATGTCTACTTGAGCTCCATGATTGCCAACAGGCCTTACTCCACACAAAGCACAATTAGAATTGTAACCCAGACCTTTCAGGCTACGCCATGTAATGGGCAGAGAGGCCCACTGTATACTATGAGGTTACAAGACTGTGCAGCAAATCCAGTTTACTCTATAATTTAGAAGGGAAAAGAAAGACTCACACCCACTCACTTTCTCTATGAACTTAGTGAAGGCAATTGAGTAATGGTGCAATAGAGCCTTTAATTTCAGCAAACTATCTGGCAATTACTTTTTATCTGAAAGTTGCTAAGCGTGTTTCCAGAAACTCCTTGTAATAAGGACTAAATTCGAAGGTGGAAAACAAAACTTTTTGATCATTCGCCCAGAAAGCCAGATTGCACTCCTGAAGACCTGGATTCAACTCACTGTGGAAAACTCACCAGGCCTGTCTGTCTCTCTCTCTCTCTCTCTCTCTCCCTCTCAGTTCAGCCTACCTCACAAGACTATTATGAAGATAATCTGCAAAAAAGCAGACTGCCACGCTGGAGGAATGGTGGCAATGAAATAAAAATAACCCAAAAGCTGTGGGGTATCCCTAGAATTTCTCCTCACTTTGGGGTGAGGAGCAGAGAAGGATGGTAGAAAGCATTGGTACCTACCAATCTACCTCTTCATCAAGTTTTCCTTTTTTTACAAAAATAAATCTCTCCCTGCTCCATTCACATATGTGTCTGGGGGGAGGGGAGGGAGATAGAAAAAGCACCCCCTTAAACTGCATTTCAGCCCTCCTCCGCTGAGGGCACTTGCCAGTCCTAAGCCGAGGCACGGCAGAATCCCAGACACGTGCTCTCGGCATGAGCAATCGCCTGGATCCGGCCGATGAACCCGGTCTCACTTCAGACACGGATATTCTAGGAGAGCCCGGGTTCAACCCCGCGAGTTGGCTGGTTCCCTCCCGGCTCTCCGCCGGCAAAGATACGCACAGAGCACAAGGGCAAATTTAAAGCGGCTGGACTTCAGGCAGGAAACGCGGTGGCGTTGAGTTTTCCCCTCCCCAAAATATTTCTTCAAATCTTTCCCTTCCTCGTCCCGCCGGAGAAAGTGGCTTTCCCCCAGCTGATGAGCGTCCCCCAACTTGCCCCCCCATTCCAAACGGTTCCCGTCCCTTCCCGCTGCCCTTCAACCTGACTCATTTGGGGTTTCTTTCAATAGAAGCGGAACACTTTTTCCCCCCCTTCAGGACAAAGACTCCAAACCAGCTCCCCCGGACCCTCCCCCATCCCCCAGGCCCCTCCTCCTCCTCCTCCTCCTCTCCTATTACCATACTTTTAAAGAAAAAAAAATTAAACAATGTCCGGGCAGGTTTATGGATATTTGCTAGACCTCTTCTGCTTTCTAAGTGTTCCATCTTTAGGCAACTTAATGCAGTCACAAACAGATCAAAAACCGGAGAGTGTGTGTGTGGGGGGGGGGAGGCGAAGAATCAGGGGAAAACAAATCTAACACAAAGCAAAGTGTGTGCGTCTGTGTATATGAGGGGGAGGTCTTGCCTGTGCAATAAAAAGAAAAGTTTGTAATACGCTCAAAGAGACTCCAGACATCTACTTTGTACATTCACACAGAGCTTTTTACAATTTCTTTTTAAACTACTGGGGAAAGGGGGGGGGGAGGATTCACATTAGATTTTCTCCCTTTCCAGTTTGGTTTAATGCAGCAGACAAGGAATCTCTTATATGCAAGCAGCTGCCATCTGGGGCCTCATCACCCCCCTCCTCAAATGGAGCAGCACCCATATTACTGGAGGATAAATGCTGTATCTGAGGACGGACTTGGGGGGTCTCCCTTTTCTCTTTCAGTAATTAAGGCCTAACTTATTTTACAGCTATCAACAACTTGCTCACAATAAAGCAACCAATTAGATTAATATATTGTGTTGTTTCGAAAATATTACACACAGGTATATAGAATGATTTCACACAGATAAAGCTATAGATTTTAGACATAATATATATATATACAGGAACAAGTGATTGAAGAAAACACTAGGCAGATAAGTAGAAGATCTACATACAACTCAGCATAATTAATGAATTATTTTATTTAAGGTCTAGGGAACAGTTTCACTCAGAATCTGCAGCATTAATTCAAATTTACACAAGAACTTTGCAGCTATTTGTCATCTTTCTCAAAAACTAAAAAAACAGAGGTTTGTGCCCATTTGATTGGCAAACAGCAACAACAAATATTTAAACTGGAGACAATTGTTTTATACACATGGACACCAAAGTCAGAAGAAACAGTTTTGCCCGCAGATTAAGTTCTCTGAAAGAATTCTCTCCACCGAGTTCCCAAAATTTAATGATTGCACTTATATCAACTCTGGGATATTCTAAAAGTAGGCCTAGATTGCTGCCATACAAACTTCCCAAGGAAATTGCTGAAGGGAAAAGGGGGAAGGGATGTGTGTGTGAACCATACCTCCTTCTTAAATAAAATCAAAAGGCTGGAATAAATAAATAAAGCAGGGATTTTATCCCAGGCTTGCTTAATTTCATCCATGGCCTAAACCTTGTATTTTCCCAATTTCATTTGTGCAGGAGATCCAATAATTGTGGGGAGGAGGGTGGCATACATGGGGTTTGGTACGTCAAACCTGTAGAAATATCAGTTACAAAAGGGATGGAGGTTTGTTGGGGAGGGGGATTTGTAAATGGAAGCTGGAGAAGAATAATCCAGTCAAGCAGTGACACCAATGTGGTATGTTCCCATTTTAAAAGTTTTTCACTTTCATTAGCCTGTGCTGGGGTTTGGTTTTGTTTTTAAGCAAGAGAGGGTCATATACTGGTAAACTATAAATTAGGGGGGGGCAGTGGGATGAAAGAGAAAGAATTGGCAAACTGGGATTTAAAAGGGAGACTATACTGTAATCATTGACGTCAAACTGGTGTGTGCTTTTCTCCCCAGAGTGAGAGTGTGAAGAAAGAACATTAAAAACTCTTTAGAAAGGGTGTCTGCAAAAAATGGGACAATCAGGAATAAAATCACCCTCCAGAACATCTTCTGGACTCTTTCCTCTTGAATCCATACTGTTTGATAATTGCACACTAAATAATAGACACACCAAGTTTTGATGCTGGACAAAGTAAAATAAAACTCCCCATAGACAGAGGGAGATCTGTGTGTGTGTGGGGGGGGGTTGGGGGGGGGTTCTTGTGCATGTGTGTACCTATGAGTGAATTCTGGATCCGTTCATTAAAATGAACAAACTACTGCAACTGAAAGGAAGCATCTGTACTCTTTGCGGGAAATTAAGACATCACTTCCCAGTGTTTTCTTTCTTTAAGGACAATAAACTTCAGAGGCACGAAAATGGGGGGCAGCCAGCCCCCTTCTGTTTTAGGTTATTACCCCCCCCAAGCTGAACTCCCCCGCACGTCTAAAGGAAAGCTCAAAAGAGTAAAAAGCTTGTTGCCTTTCTCCCCGACCCTCAAAAGGAGTTAAGTAGACCTCCTTCATCGACCCCCCCCTTTTGCTTCAGCTAACTTCCCGCCCCATGAAGTTTAATGCCACTTCCGGGGGGGGAGAGAGAAAGAAAGGACAAGTGTGCGTGCGTGTGGGGGAAGAATAGTAAGAAAAAATACACCTAAATAATAATAAACATAGAGAGAGAAAGAGAGTAACAGTAATTACTAAGTAAGGGACAGAACCGAGGAAAGTAGCAAAGTTAAATCTATAGATCCGAGGAAAAAGAAGACTCAGACTAAAGTCAACTCTGCCCCCTCGGAAAATAAAATAGTTCCGTGGAGGGGGAGGAGTCACAAACGAACCCCCCCAAATTAAAAGCAGAGGCCCTCCCCCAGTTGCTTAACCCACCCCCCCTTCCTCAGGCTTACCTGCTCAGCTTTGTGGTGGGGGAGGGTTACATCCACAAGTATGGCTGAAGATTCCCGGGGCGAAGCCGGGGTGGGCGCCCCGGTCGCCCCTCCTGCCTTCCTATTGTTCTCCCGGCGGCGACGGAGACGGTGGAGGCAGCTTTAACAATGTCCAAGCAAACGGAAATGGCTACAATGTAATAAAACGAGGGAGGGAGGCTTTTTTAAAAAAAAAGAAAGGAAAAGAAAAAAGCGAGAGTGGGAAAATAAATTAGAGAGGACGGGAGAAAGGCGCTCCCCCGAACGTTCGGTCGGTCTGTCTGTGCCCCTCGGGCTGTGAGTTCGGCCGCGCCGACGTTCGATCGAACGTTTGTCCCAACGTTCGATCGGGTGTTTTGCCCCCCGCCAGGAGCTTTTGATGTGGCCTCTTCAACGTTCCATCCGCGCTTGGAAGATAAAAGTGCTTCTGATCCTCCGGCCGCGGACCCCACTTAGCGCTTGCTTCGCTGGCTCATGATAGCTGAGCTTCTTTCTCTCTGCGTTTTTCAACCCCCTTGCTCGCTGGGGCAGCGGACGGGCGCCCCCTTCTCCTTCGCCGCCTTCTCCTCCTCCTTTGCTTCCACACATCCACACACGCACACACGCACGCACACACACACATACAGACACTCGCATCAAGACCTTCCCCCTCCTTCTCTGGCGTATCCTTCCGCCGCAGCAGCCACCATCACTACCAGCTGCACAAGCCCCCAAAAGAGGGGGGGGGTGAAGGAGGACGGCTGGTTTTGCCCACAAGGCTCTTTTCGGCGATCCCAAGTAGTTGGGAAAAGAATGAGAAACTGAGTTCTTCCCAATAGGATTTTCCTTTTCTTTATTTTACTCAACAACCGGCCGACAAAAAAACTCCGTACGCCCAAATATTTCCGGGGAAAGTGAAAAAGGAGGGATGTTAAGTGGATATTGCTTAAGACTAAATTCCAGGCAAACTTCAGATGGGAGAAATTAGGAACCCCCCCCCCCCAGCATTTTGCTGCCCTTTCTGGCAGTCGAGTCATAGTTTTGTTCAGGTAGTCCTCAACTTATATTCATTTGTTTTGTGATTATGCGAAGTTATAAGGGTGGTTAAAAAAAAGTGACTTACAACGGCCCCTTGCACTTATAACTGTTGCAGCATCCCTCAGTCACGTGATCAAAATTTGGATGCTTGGCAACTGGCATGTATTTACAATAGTTGCAACATCCCAGGGTCATGGGGTCACATTTGTGACTGCCCCAAGCAGCTTCCAATAAGCTGGAAGCTGGATTCACTTAATGCCTGTATGATTCATTTAACAACAGTGATTCATTTAGAAACTGTGGCACAAAAGGTCCTAAATCTGGCCAGGACTCACTTAACAACCACCTTGGTTAGCAAATTGTGATCATAAGTCAAGGACTGGCCTGTAAAGAGTCAAGGAATTACAGCCACCACCCTCAATTCTTGGAAGTGTGGAAGAGAGAGGAAGGCAGGGGCCAAATGATTGTCCCAATTGGTTTTGTAAGGCTCAAATAATGTTAAGACCCATCCCAACATAATTATATGTTCATTTCTCTAACCTGAGAGAATGACTGGTTTTCCTCAATATTTTGGGATAAATCAGTTGCCAGTTTCTGGGTGAATAGTTGCAAGACCCAGCCATTGTTTTAAATATGTGAATTCCAGCATCGTGTGCCATAATTTGATTTTATTGGGTGACATGCCATGTCATATGATGATGTTATTCCACATAAGCATTGTCCAATGTCTAGAGTGCATCTTCCGATTTCCACCCCAACTTGCTTACCTCTTTCTGTAAGAGAAAACCTCTTCACACAGCTGTCCAATTCAGTTAAAATCCCATGCAAAACACATTAGTGATCCAGCAAATATGCAGCCCACTGCATCTGTCCCTTCCCCATCAAAAATATAGAACCATCTTAAGTTTGAGGAAATGACTGATCTTAAGAAGTGGGCTTTAGCCATCTGATAGGGTCCTTCTCTGAGATCTGACGCTAAGCAGAATTGGACGTTCTTCACTGTTGGAAAAGAGGCTGCCAGAGCTGAGGGCTTGGCTTTAAAATTACAAAAAATATTCTGTAGGAAAATGCTGGCAAAGCTCTTCCACACTGTTGCAAAGAAAACCGCCCCAAATGTGTGTCCATAGATCATCAGGAATCAATTGTATTTTTTTTTTATTTTACCCCATCTTACTAATTTTTATAAATAACTCAAGGTGACGAACATACCTAATACTCCCTCCTCCTCCAGTTTTCCCCACCTGTGATGTGGGCTGAGATTTGTTAGGATATTTTTAAAACAACAATAAACAAATATTCTCCCATTCCCCCAGGCAATCAAACTGTCTGATTCTGAGAGATTTGATGATTATTGAGTGAAGCTCCCATTATAATACTGCACAGGAAAACACATACTGATTGCCTATGCCAGGGGTGTCAAACTGCTGGCCCAGGGGCCGGATGCGTCATGCGGAAGCCGTGCTCATCCCAACTCCAGCAAGGGGAAAAAAGTCACAATATGTCACGACACACGTCACGTGACGCAGCAAGTTCGACACCCCTGTCCTATGCAATTGCTCTTTCTGTTACGGGATCATACATTCCCATTCAAAATCTGCCAGACCATAGGTGGGGAACCACAACCACTCAAAACTGTCTCCCCTCTTTCCTCTCATCAGCAATTTAAAAATGGAGGTCTTATGCAGGTGTGGGCAACTATGGCAACTTTATGACCTGTGGACCTCAACCCCCAGCTGGCTCAGGAATTCTGGCAGTTGAAGCCTGTAGGTCATAAAAGGACCATAGTTCCCAATCCCTGTCCTAGACAATGCCCATTCATGTATTACATCAAGTCATAATGGGGTACATTTGGTATTGGCTTAGCACATTATGTGAATCCGTCCATGATGGTGTGTAAATCATGGTTTGTATCTTGATGCATGCTTGAAACTAATTGGAATTGAGACCTTGAATCAGACATTCCCAACCTGTGGATGTCCAGAAATGGTCAGCTATGGTGTAGACCTATTAGCTAGTGTGCTAGCTGGAGATTGGGAGAATTAGATTAACATCATGGTAGGGCATCAGATTGGGGAAGACTGCAATAAAACCATGGCCTAGGACAGGGGTGTCAAACTGCCGGCTGGCAGGCCAGATGCGTCATGGCAAAACCGCGCCCACCCCATTGCTGGCAATGGAAAAAAAGTCGCGATACGTCTCAACACATCACATGACGTTGCGAGTTTGACACCCTTGGCCTAGGACAATATGTGAAGCCATTTGTTGGGTCCAATTTCTTAGACAGGTACTATCTTATCAAAGATGAAGCCCAGGGTTATTGCAGGGTGGGTGGTTCAAAACCATCAAAATGATTTCTGCAACTTGCATGATTAAAGCTGGTCCAAAGCTGCCATCTTGATATTTTTGAAACCCCCCCCACCACTATCCCAATCCTAGACAACAGCCCATAGATATCAAGTATTAATCACAGTGTCACATGATGTCACAGTATGTTTTGCAGAATGACATCACGAGCGACATCACACCCAGTATTTCCTAGCTATAGGCTGCTATCCTCCAATAGAGGCCTGGTGAGAAGAAATGAGGATGTAAGGATTGGATTCTGAATGCATTTAAATAGGATTCTATAATGACTTGAGAATGCCCACAAAAGAGGATAAACTCCTATTAGCTGCTCTCAGCAGTAATATTAATCTGCTCTGTAACTAACACCTAAGGTTCAGAGGTTCAGCCTTCCGCCATTCCAATGTTTCTCAACCTTGCCGGCTTGAACATTCATGGACTTCAACTCCCAGAAATCCCCAGGTAGCATGGTAGATCCCTCACGTAGGCTAAATACTGTTTGGAGAAGGGGAGAGTGAAAAGGGATTTCAAAGTGGAGAATGTAAAGCAAGGTTTCTCACGCTTGGCAACTTTAAGATGCATGGACTTCAATTTCCAGAATTCCCCAGCCAGCTTGGCTGCTGGGAGTTCTGGGAATTGAAGCCCACATATCTTAAAAGTTGCCAAGCTTGAGAAACACTGCTCTACCGCTTAATCCCTGCACCTTGTTCCTAAAAAATAGTCAGTGTCTAACAATGGATGTTCTCTTTAGTTAAGAAGGCATAAGAAGATCTAAGATGAGTCAGAGCAAATGCTCAAATACTGTAATGGAAAAGTCTTTATTTTTAAAAACTGCCAGGCAGATCCCCCACACTGCACTAAAGTTCTCCATCCCTTGGTGTCGGGGTCCACAGTATTTTGCTTTGAAAGCTGAACAGTCTCTAAACACAATTTGCTCGCTCACAATTAACCCTTTCTTTTCTGTGATTTTGTCTGGTTAAAAAAATAAACTCCAATCTTGATTGTTTTTACCGTGTAGCAAGGAGTTCCACAAGCTGACAAAAGCCTTAGAGGCTATGAAGACTACTGAGGTGGTAGGGTAAACTGCACTAATAAATAAAACTAAACAAGGACAAATTTGACCCCATTGATGGGTGTATGTCCATGTGACCTCAGTGATGTTGTGTCTCACATAACATTTTTCTTTGAAAAAGCTCTAAATTTTATTGACTTGGTTTACCTTAATTTGAATATCCAGTCTATGCTTATGAAGTTTTTATTTTAACGTTATGTGTAATATTTCACAAAACTAAGTTTTCCTTTTATTATATTTTTTTTATTTTATTATTTTTTATTATTATTATTTTTATTTTTTATTATTTTATTATTTATTATTTTTTTATTATTATTTTTATAATAATAATTAAAAAAAACTAAGTTTTCCCAAAGTGAAACTTGAAGACGGCCGTTTTTTCATTTCCCCTTGTTCCATTTTTTTTTTCTCCTATGTATCTTCTGAGGGGTCCTTGGTGCTCTCTGAGCTTGGTTGTTTTCTTGCTTGTTGTTTTCTTTTTTAAAGTTCTGAGTTGATCAAATCAAGATTATGGATGAATACAAATTTGGGAATTTTCTTCTATATGGTCGATAGTCAACATTGCTTTGCTATACTTAGCATTGTTTTTCATGTCATAACTTTATTTGACCAAAAGTACAGTACACTTCTTTAAGATGTATACATTTGCATGTGTTTTTTTATTATTATTCTTACTCGTCTGTGGAAATAACGCACTTGTCGAAAACAGATCGATGAAAAGGTACGGCGGGAGGAGCTTCCCCTGGAGTGGGTGGAACTGGGAGGAGCTATGCCGGGAGGTGGAAGAATACGAACTATTTTTCAGAGCGGAGTGACACAAAAAATTGTTGTAGGGAAAATGAGAGAGCAGCAGCAGCAGCAGCAGCAGCAGCGTGACGAAATGGGAGCACCGAAGAGATGGAATGATAAGGCCGCGGGGTAGGATCCAATGAAACGGCACGATGCCGTGGAGTAGCAAGAGGATTGACCAATCAGAGCTAGCCTCCTCTCCATCCCTCCATCTGACTGTCTGCCTAACCCTGCGAGCCCTTTTTTCGCCCACTGAGCAAGGGGGAGGCCGTGCAGGCAGCTGCTGTGATCTTTTGTTTAACGGGCCTCGGCCGAGTTATGTTTGTGAATTTTTTTTGGTTAGCAATTTTGCTTATGAAAAAAAGAATTGGGAGGAGAAATTGAAAAGAAATGAATGTCACATAAGTGCTGGAATGAG